AACTGTTTTTACACACACGACATTACAAAGCTGATGGGATTTTGATTTGCCAGGTGAGTGGATGAAAATGGGTCAAATGGGTTGAGTAATCTTCTGGATTTACTCGACCAACGCAACACAAGCAATTCTGGAAAATATCACACAAAAGGAAAAAGACGGCCATTAATCTACACCTGAAGTGGGCAGTTCTGCCTGTACACTGGGTGTTCTCATTTAGAAAGACTTGTTCTTTCAAGTTTTACAGTCCTGAAACATTTAAATCAGAACCAGAAAATAGTGAATACAAATAGATAAGATGATAGATGGATAAATGGATAGATACATACATACATACATACTGTACATACATACATTACATTACATGCATAGATGCATACATGCATAGTTAATCCCAGGGGTGGGAGGGGAATTTGAGGCATCCAGTTGCATGTTCTAAGTGGGGAAAAAATCCCACATATGAAATAATTTAAAAAAGAAGCAGAATTCAGAAATTTTGGAAAAGACAATATGCACATGCACAATGTGGTAGGGAGTACTACATTCATGATTAACCTATATATATGTACATATATAAACATCTAAGCATACATATATATATACATGTACTATATACATATGCATATGTACATGTGTACATACACACCCCGTGTCTCGGGTGCTGCAGATTTACACAGCTTTATTTTTACTATACAGGGAGGAGTTGAACAGTCTGATGACTTGAGAGACAAAGGACTTCCTGAATCTGTGGAGCAGGGCTGGGACAACAGTCTACCACTGAAGGAGCTCCTCTGCTTCATGATGGCGCTGTGCGGAGGATGGTCAGCGTTGTCCATGATGGATAGCAGCTTACTGAGGGCCCTTTTCTCTGCCGCCGGAGTAAAGGACTCCAGCTCTGTTCCCAGCACAGAACCAGCTTTCCTCACCAGCCTGTCAAGTTGCTCTGCATCTTTCCTTTTAATGCTGCCTCCCTAACACAAAACAGCACAGGAGGACACTGGCTAACACAGACTGGTAGAACATCAGCAGTGGTTTCCTGCAGATACTGAAGGATCCAAGCCTTTTCAGGAAGTAGAGCCTGCTCTGACCCTTCCTGTAGAGGGAGTTTGTGTACACTGATCAGTCCAACCTGTCCATCTAGTTGTATGTCCAGATATTCCTGGTAGGTAGGTCCTGACCACCTCTACATCAACCCCCTCAATCGAGAATGGCTGTAGGGTAGGCCCAGACCTTCTGAAGTTCACTACCATTTCTTTTGTTTTACTGATGTTTAGCTGTGGATGGTTGGATTTGCACCGCACTACAAAGTCCTCAACCTGGGTCCTGTACTCCTTCTTCTGTCCATCCTGCACACACCAAACAATTGCAGTATCGTCTGAGTACTTCTGCATGTGGCAAGTCTCCAAGTTATAACTGAAGTCAGATGTGTACAGGGTGAACAGAACTGGAGAAAGCATAGCTCCCTGCGGTGCTCCTGTGCTGCTAACCACTGTGTCGGAGATGCAGTCCTATGCATAAGGTGGAGAATGGCATCATCCATTCTCCCCCACCTTCTCCCGGTATGCAAACTGTTAAGGGTCTTCGGTGTGGTGAACCTGAGGAGTTTCAGCAGCAATTGCTTGATGGTCTTCATCACGAGATGTCAAAGTCATTTAGTTACTATCTTTTTCCATTTGGATCTATGTATTTTATCCTGTGTGCTTTGTTTGTTTGTTTCTGCTGTGCAGCACTTTGGCTGGCCTTGTTGCTGTTTTAAGTACTTTATTAATAAAATGGTATGGTATGGTATGGTATGACATTGTAAAGTGACCGGCCTGTAGTCATTCAACTCCTTGGGATGTACCTTCTTAGGAACTTGAATGAGGTAGGATGTCTTCCATGTGACAGGGACTCTCCCGAGATGCAGGCTCGGGTTGAAGACATGTTGGAGAGGCTCCCTCAGCTGGACAGCACATGCCTTGAGCATCCTGGGGCATAGCCTGCTGCCTTCCTCTCCGAGGTTGGGAGACTGTGTGAGTGTGTGTTTATTCCAAGGGGTGTTGATGACGATGGTAATGATGGTAGTGGAGGTGAGGGTGAGGGAATAATCTGCCAGTAGTTGTGGTGGTGACGAGGTGAAAACGGCAGCTGGAATAGAGGGGGATGGGGGCGCTGGCAAAATGTGTTGAACTGGTTTGCCTTGTCCACACATCTGCTGAGCTTTCACTGTTCTTTTGTGCCTGTGACTGTCTTCATCCCATCCCAGACCTCTTTCATGTTATTTTCCTGCAGCTTTCCGTCAAGCTTTTTCTTGTTAAACTCCTTTGCCTCAAGCCGAGTCTTAAATTCCCCCTGTTAACGCTTCAACTCTGACCTGTCTCCATCTTTAAATGCCCTTCCTATTGAGGAGGACCTAGATGTTGCAGGGCTTATTGTTTGGGAAGCAACATACAGTCTTAGTGGTTTCCCACTGTAACTGTACTGTAAAAGGACTGAAAAATATCTAATCTGAATATTCTCATGGGGAATTTTTTTTTTTTTAATCATTTATTGATATTGCAAAGAGCTGAGTGCACAAACAACTATTCTCCAAATCCAACATTATGGAAATAATTGTGCAACTAAATAATGACTAAACAACTTGCTTTTTTTTTTATGAACTAAAATTTTCTGATTTAAAATTTTCATCTTTTCGTTAGCATCAGTAGCTAGCAACAAGCGAAATATTGACGAAATGATTGTGAAAACAAACTATTTTAAAAACAAATACTTAATAAAATATGTATGCAAATACTACAGATCGCAGAAATCTGTTGTTGGTTTTGCAAGACAGAATTTGGTTTCAGTTTTTTAGGTGCAATGTCTTTTTAATAAGATTCGCAACCGTGGCACCAGGCGGTACATGATGTTCTGTGTCCTCCTCACCTTGAGGAGCTGACAAAAGGTTGTAGGTGAGTCAGTGATAAGAGTTTGTGGGCAAAATGCAGACCACTTTTCTGCTGACATCTATTCAGCTGAGACACTGCCCATAAGCAAATACACAAGCAGACTTTAAGGACAGCTGATGATGTATTTAGCGTCTGGGTCATGTTTTAGAATGAAAATGAATGCTGGTGTTGTGTACCAAAAGCCACTAATGTGAAGGACACTGTGTGTGCTTGTGTAAGGGTCTGGAAGCTGTCAGAGCCCAGGTGTTCGGCTCCCCGTGGCTTCGGGCTGCTTTTACCTCAGTTGTCCTGTTCACACAAAGTCCCCACTTGTTCTGTCTAATCGCTCCATCTACCCTTGACATTCCTGCATTACCAGCACTCCGTCCTCATCCCTGCTGAATTTAAATAGACTTTAAAAGGATTTGGACAGATTTTGTTCCTTTTGTAATTATAATAACATCTTATTGGTATCAAGACTCCTTTTAACACCTTTCCTTCCTTTTTTCCTCTCTGTGAATTTCCCTTATAGGGTGTGGTCTTTTTTCTTTTCTTTTTTTCAATGAAGAAGCAAAACCTCATTCTGCTTTCTGAAAAACAATTACCTTGCCATCGGGAACTTTTAGGCATTTTACTAACAATGCTGATAAACATACCTGCATATAAGGTGACCAAGAAAATCTCTGAAGTACAAAACTTTAAACTCAAATATTTAAATAACTGTTGAAGCTTCTTTTAAAAAGACTAACACATACAATCAATAAATACCTGGAATATTGATCCTAATTGTGTTGACTGGCTCTTTAAACACAGTAGATGGACTGCTAATAGTCACTCTGAATTTTCAAAAGCATGAGAATGTTGTGTGGGTCCTGAATTTCTATTATAACGAAAAGAAAATAACAGTCGACTAATATTATATGAAAAATGGAAGTACTGTTTTGGGCACCATGACACACATGATCCATGTGGATTTATGTGTTGATACCATAAAACCTTTGGTTTAAGCTGGAATGATCACATTAGTGCTTCATCTAACAGGTTGAGTCAGGTCCTCTGGAGGAATTCTTCTTTGTTGAAACGTTTCGTCTTTTATCCAAAAGACTTCTTCAGTCTGAGGAGCTGCAACAAACTCAGTCTTATAAATAGCATCTTCTCATAGAGGAGCAACCAGTTTGCTGGCGACAGCAAACTGGTTGAACAAAACGATCTTTATGCTCCCTAGCAAATTGAAGCCTTTTTTCCAGTTAGCCTCACTGATCAGTGGTTTTCTTAAGGCTACACAGCTGTTCAGTCTCAATCCCTTGAGTTCTCTTCACATTGCGAGTGTGGAAATGCTTTTACTTTCACTATTAAACACAGCCCTGAGTGCTACTGTTGTTTTTCTTCCATTTGATTTCACCAAACATTTAAGTGATCGCCGATCACGATCATTCATGATTTTTCTCCGGCCACATTTCTTCCTCGAAGATGACTGGTCCCCACTATCCTTCCAGTTTTTAATAATGCGTTGGACAGTTCTTAACCCAATTTTAGTCGTTTCTACAATCTCCTTAGATGTTTTCTCTGCTTGATGCCAATGATTTGACCCTTCTCAAACAGACTGACATCTTTTCCACAACCACGCCATGTGTCATTTGACATGGTTGTTTAAGAAATGAGAAGCAACTCATTGCGCCAGTTGGGGTTAAATAACTTGTTGCCAGCTGAAAGATAATCGCCCATACAGTAATTATCCAATAGGAGGCTTGTACATATTTGCTTAGTTAAATCCAGGTGGCAACTTTTTTTTTGGCCAGGCAGTGTATAAAGGAGGACTACAAGCCTAACAATTGATGTTGGTGCTCTGATGGCTGTTTACTATTCACAGGGGGCTGAGTGATACTAGCAATAACAGCATTGTAAGAGGGGGACAGTTGAACCCGGAGGCCTCCACCCCGTTTAATGATAGACGAGTTCTTTTCACAAAGATGGCCTCCTTTACTCCTCTCTCAAACCATTGTTCCTCTCTATCCAGGATATGAACATCTTCATCCCTGAAAGAGTGACCGCTGGCCTGGAGATGAGTGTAGACCGCAGAGTCCTGGCCTGATGATGTTGATCTTCTGTGCTGGGCCATCCTTTTGGCCAGTGGCTGTTTAGTTTCCCCGATGTAAGACTGATCACAGCCCTCCTGACACTGAACAGAATACACAACATTACTCTGTTTGTGCCGGGGGACTGGATCTTTGGGATGAACCAGTCTTTGCCGTAATGTATTTTGGGGTTTAAAAGCCACTGGGACGTTGTGTTTAGAAAATAAACGTCTCAGTTTCTCTGATACTCCCTCAACATACGGAATGACCACTGGTCTGGGTCTGGTTTCCTCCTTTTCACCTGATGGCTGACTGGAGTCTTGTTTGGGTTTCGTCTCTGCTTTCAGGAAGGTGCAGTTAGGATATCCACATTGCTCTAGAGCCTGTCTTGTGTGGGATTTATCCTTCTGCCTGGCTCCTGAGTTAGTGGGGATGCTGTCTGCTCTGTGATACAGAGTCCTGATGACTCCTAACTTGTACTCAAGAGGGTGATGGGAGTCAAACCGCAAGTACTGGTCTGTGTGTACTCCAACCAGTCATCAGGTGAAAATGAGGAACCTAGACCTAGACCAGGGGTCTGTGTGTTGCAGAAGTTTCAGAAGAACTGAGACATGCATTTTCTAAACATGACATCCTCCTTTTGCATTTAAACAACTAGTCGTGTCTGTCAACAACAAACTGGTTGATTCACTATGAGAAGGTGCTATTTATAAGACTGAGTTTGTTGCAGCTTCTCAGACTGACGGTCTTTTGGATGAAAGAGTAAATGCTTCAACAAAGAAGAATCCGCCCAGAGGACCTGACACATTTATCTACCTGGATTATTGAGCATGCATCAGGACATTAGTGCTGCAACATCAGTGAATATAAAACCATTGGTGCTGAATTTAAACTGCAAGGTTCAGGTTTCAGCTGTGTGTTTGAACGGACTTGATGCACGTTTCCATTTCTACAGACCGTAACAAATCTGAGTTCTTTATTAAAGGTTTACAGTTTGGATCTGCTGACCGTTCAGAAGGAACCTCACAAGGACATTATCAACATTCCTTTCTATATATAATTACAAGCACCCGTGGTCACGTTTTACCCTCTTGTTCAAGTTCTTACCTTTTTTTTTAAGTATGGAAAAGTCTGATTTTAGTATTTTTCAGGTCTTAGTGGAGAAGAAAATGTTTGTATCCAGAGATGATTTCTTTTCTAAAATATTAAAGTCTGATTTTAATAAATAGCTGAATGCTTTCAGATTTATGGACTGAAAGTAAAGGTTTTAAATCAGACCTATTTTTATTTAGGCCTACATTGCAAAATATGGCTCCTTGGAAGAACAAAAAACAGACCTGTTGAAGTTGCATTTTTTTGTTTACATTGTAAGAGATAAGTTCACCTCACAAATGTGCAATTTAAATGCATTATTTTATATCATATAGGGCACAAGTTCCCCTAACATTAAAGCGTATACGCTGCATTTTTCTTCTTTACTCTGAATCAGAGCGTAGTTTTAAAAACTGAAGCTCGTGTTGTATTGAAGAACACTTCATCTGTAATTAAGATCCTGAAATCATCACAGGAACACGACTTTTGTTCTCAAAGGTATCGTCCTTTATGCATAATCTGCTGAACGCGCAGTAAGTGTTTTTAAATGGACGTGAAAAACAGTCAACGTGATTAAGAAATGTGGAACTTTTTGTCTGACATTTGAGAACAAAGGTGTCAAATCAAGTTCCTGCTATTTTTTTTTTTTTTTTTTTTTTTTTTTTAGAGAAATACATGATTATATATCTAAAAAAGTTAAATCTGGTCCTCTGGACATTCAAAAAAACAAAACTTTTTTTGTTTGTTTGTTTGTTTTTTGAATGTCCAGAGGACCAGATTTAACTTTTTTAGATTTTTCTACCTGGATTATTGAGCATGTATCAGGATACATGATTATAAATGTGCACAGTAATAAGTTACAACAAAAGAAACAGAATGAGTAGCTGCGGTTATGATTATCTACATGCTTTGTTTTTATTTAAAAAGACATTTGGTCATGAGTTTAATTTATTCTGCAGCAAGGTCAAATACGAGCTCCGGCTGAATTTTCAAAGTGTCCAAAGTCTAAACTTCAAACTGTGGGTGTGACTCTTTATTGTCTTTGCTCGTTCTTCTGATATGACCCTGACTTTATGATCCTGATACAATCAGTAGCACTTGTTTTTCTCCTCTGTCCCACTGACCCGGATCACGGCTCGTTTGGGCGAGAGTCAAATTACAGACGCTTCCTTTTTTTCAAGCCTTACTCGTGTAAACTATTGTAGTTGGCCCCGTTTGCAGCTTCTTTGTGATAGGCTAAACTCTGTGTGTGCATGTGTGTGTGCATGTGTATCCTGTCCAACTGTCACCCATGATGCTGCACTACCTGTTCTCAGTTTCCAAAGTAAATGAAACTTGATCTACCTGATGTTTGAAGCGAGGGGGGGTGTGGAGGGGACTGCAGTGTCTGTTCAACTGAATCTGAAGCCGGTGGAGGCAAACACAGACGGAGCACGAGCTGACGTGTGTAAACAGAACAAAACAAAGCAAGGAAAACCTCAGAAAGCCAGTCAACACTATTAGTTTGTCAAAATGCATCAATTTTGGTCTAATCCACCTTTAAAATTAAGAATTTGGAGCAGCTTAAACATAACTTGTTAATGATTTGTCTTTACTGCAGTTCAGAATATACAGTTTCGTCTTAAAATAAATGATCACGTACACAAGAGTTTAAAAAAACATTTCTAGGCCTTACAGGAAGAGCCACCAACTGTTTTAAAAGCATAACATATAGATTTTTAGAGCTGTAAAGGGTCGGTTTACCTGTCAGGTGATCCCCTCTTGATCTTTCTGGGCCTGGCTCACTCTATTCCCACTTGATGCAATTTTGTAGAGGCAAAGTCAACTGGGCTCAGAAATCCCAACTGGGAGTTTAAATGGTGCCCCTGCTCAGGATGAGGTCCTCCTTCCTGCTTTGATACTCTGCTGGAGTTCTGAGCGTGTCTAAAGTGTGTGTGAGAGAGTGTGTGTGTGTGTGTGTGTGTGTGTGTGTGTGTGTGTGTGTGTGTGTGTGTGTGAGAGTGGGTGTGTGTTCTGAGGCTGGGTGAAAGTCTGTGTGAGCTGGATCCTCCTTCCTTGGCGTCCGTTGGCCGTTACCACCTGCCATATGTCGGCTCCCCTTTTTTAGCATTCCATGCAAATGGTGTCTTGGCCTTGAGGTGTTTTGAGGAAGAGGAGGAGGAAGCTTCATCAGTAAAGAGGGTAATGCACATTCTTGTCTCACACAACACTCGTTTTTTTTATGTTGCCCCCCATTTACAGTTTCCCCTCCTTTAAGCCCCGTGTGCAAACAAACCTACAACCCCAATTCCAAAGAAGCTGTGTTGTTGTATAAAAATGTAAAAACAAAATTTACCGTAATGATTTGTAAATCTCATAAACCTGCATTTTATTCACAATGGAACACAATAAATATATCAAAGGTACTTTCTGGGGAAGAAAAAAAAAAGGTTTGGCAGCAACACATCTCAGAAATTATCCTATTTCTGAAAGATCCAGCTTTTAAAAAAAAAAATCATTTTTTTCATACTCTGCCGTGGGGCCATGTTTTCCACTATGACACCCCCCCCCCCCCGCCTCACACACACACACACACACACACACACACACTTTTAAGAACAGTTCCTTCAAGTCGGACGTAGGATTCAAACTCTTCCACAGTCCTGGGTGTTGGTGGATTTTAGCTGGATGGGAGCATATGCTGTTTTAAAACCAGTATATATTATTCTCCACTAATGGTGCCTTTCCTGGTGTGTTTAGCTGCCCGTGGTAAATGCACTAATGCAGCCCCATACCATCAGTGAATCAGGCTTCTGAACTGTGTGCTGATAACAGGCTGAATGGTCCCTCTCCTCTTCAGCATTGAGGACTTGATATCCATCGTTTCCTAAAAGATTTTCACATTTCGATTCATCGACAACAAGTTTTCCACTTCGCCTCAGTCCATTTTTAATGAGCTGTGGCCCAGAGAAGATGGTGGTGTCTCTGGGTAGTCACACATGGCTTCCTTTTTACGCAATAGATTAACCAGTATTTGTGGACGACGCAGTGAACTGTGTGGTTGCGGAAGTGTTTCTGAGCTCGTGCACTGACGCTCATAACAGAATCAGACCTGTTTTTAATGCAGCGGCCCCCGAGGACCCAAAGACCACAGCCATCCAACATTGTCCTTTGCAAACAGATTTTTCTTCTTGAAATAATTTGATGGTCTGAACTGTAGATGATGGAATACTCAAACTGAAGATTATTCTGTAATTGTGCAAATAAATTGCTAATAAACTATTTTTAGACAGTTTTTAGTAGACCGGCGAACTTCTATTTTTATTTCTGAAAGATCCAGCTTTTTTAAAATCCTCTTTTCATACTGTCGTCTTATTGACCTGTTAATTAATCCATTACAAAATGCTCCTCCAGCTGTGCCCTAATCATACCACTTACTTTTACACCCCTTTGTTGTCCTCGTGTCAACTTTTGCAGATATGTTGCTGCCATAAAATAGAAAATTTACTTTGGTTTTAAAAGAAGGAACCTTTCTTTCATGTACAAACCAGATTCCAAAAAAGTTGGGACACTAAACAAATTGTGAATAAAAACTGAATGCAATGATGTGGAGGTGCCAACATCTAATATTTTATTCAGAATAGAACACAAATCACAGATCAAAAGTTTAAACTGAGAGAATGTTTCATTTTAAGGGAAAAATCTGTTGTTTCCAAATTTCATGGCGTCAACAAATCCCCAAAAAGTTGGGACAAGTCCATTTTTACCACTGTGTGGCATCCCCCCTTCTTCTTACAACACTCAACAGACGTCTGGGGACAGAGGAGACCAGTTTCCCCAGTTTAGAAATAGGAATGCTCTCCCATTCATGTCTAATATAGGCCTCTAACTGTTCAATCATCTTGGGCCTTCTTTGTCGCACCTTCCTCTTTATGATGCGCCAAATGTTCTCTATAGGTGAAAGATCTGGACTGCAGGCTGGACATTTCAGTACCAAGATCCTTCTCCTACGTAGCCATGATGTTGTGATTGCTGCAGAATGTGGTCTGGCATTATCGTGTTGAAAAATGCAGGGTCTTCCCTGAAAGAGATGACGTTTAGATGGGAGCATATAGTGTTCTAGAACCTGAACATAGTTCTCTGCATTAATGGTGCCTTTCCAGACATGCAAGCTGCCCATGCCACAAGCGCTCATGCAACCCCATACCATCAGTGATGCAGGCTTCTGAACGGAGCGTTGATAACAACTTGGGCTATCCTTGTCCTCTCTGGTCCGGATGACATGGCGTCCCAGTGTTCCATAAAGAACTTCAAATTGTGACTCATCTGACCACAGAACAGTCTTCCATTTTGCCACACTCCATTTTAAATGACCCCTGGCCCAGTGCAAACGTCTGAGCTTGTGGAGCTTGCTTAGAAATGGCTTCCTCTTTGCACTGTAGAGTTTCAGCTGGCAACGGCAGATGGCACGGTGGATTGTGTTCACTGACAATGCTTTCTGGAAGTATTCCTGAGCCCATTCTGTTATTTCCTTGACAGTGGCATTCCTGTTTGAGGTGCAGTGACGTTTAAGGGCCCGGAGATCACGAGCATCCAGTAGAGTTTTACGGCCTTGACCCTTACGCACAGCGATTGTTCCAGATTCTCTGAATCTTTTGATGATGTTATGCACGGTTGATGATGATAACTTAAAAGTCTTTGCTATTTTACATTGGGTAACACCATTCTGGTATTGCTGCACTATCTTTCTGCGCAACAATGGTGGAATTGCTGATCCTCTTACCATCTTGGCTTCTGAGAGACACTGACACTCTGAGAAGCTCTTTTTATACCCAATCATGTTGGCAATTGAACTAATTAGTGTTAATTGGTCTTCCAGCTGTTTGTTATATGCTCAATTTCCTTTTTCCAGCCACTTATTGCTACTTGTCCCAACTTTTTTGGGATTTGTTGACACTGTGAAATTTTGAATCAACATATTTTTCATTTAAAATGTTACATTTACTCAGATTAAACTTTTGATCTGTCATCTATGTTATATTACGAATAAAATATTGTCATTTGCCATCTCCACATCATTGCATTCAGTTTTTATTCACAATTTGTTTAGTGTCCGAACTTTTTTGGAATCCGTTTTGTACAACTGATATATCTGCTATGTTCCCTTGTGAATAATATGTAGATTTATGAGATTTGAAAATCATAACATTCTAATTTTATTTCCTTTTACAAAATGTCCCAACCTCTTAGGAATTGAGAGTTGTAATAAATCCTTCAAACTAAAGGTGCATGCATTTTCTCGGTGGTGCTAAAAGTAGCCTTGTGTGTTGCACTTTTTCACTCCCTTCCCCCCCAAATGCTGACCGACTGAGACATGCACTGTGTCATCAAACGCAAAAGACACACTTGTCTTTTGCATAAGTCGTTTAATTTGTGAAAGACATGCAAATAATTAATTTCCATGTAGCCGTTGATAAGGTAACAGATGCTGCTGATACAGGACTATCTTCTCACTGGAGCTCCACTCCACCTTTTGTCTGCCAGGTTACTCGTCGATATTACACATCTGGGTGTTTGAATCCGAAGGGGAGACACTTTCAGTGATGCTTGTTTATTTTAAATAAACGTAACTCCTTTCAAAGGAAAACCCCAGCCGGTCAAAGAAGATGGCCGCTCGTCCTGAGCCTGGTTCTGCTGGAGGTTTCTTCCTGTTGAAAAGGAGTTTTTACTTTCCACAGTTGCCTTTGTGCTTGCTCAGGATGCGATAAAGTAAAGATTCAACACAATCTGCTGTCTTCCTTAAATAGATAACTTTTACCAATTGGCTTTTACAATGTATATGAATGTTTCTGTTCAGTGCCCTGAGACGACTTCTGTTGTGAGTTGGCGCTACATAAATAAACTAAACTGAAAAAAGTAAGAAAAAAACATAAAGCAAAAGTAAGAAAATTTTGCCTTCAGAAAACGAGCTCACCGTTAGGCAGCGAAGAACTTCAAAAAGTCACAAAAAATTAGCATTTCAAAGACGTTTAGAAACATTCATTTAAAATTAAAGTCAGGGGGGGAAAAACTGTCACAATAACGAGACTCCTGTTAATTAAGATTAATTGAAGTCGGCGTGTTTGAGGTTTTTATTTGGTTGCACATTTTAGTTTGTGATAATGACTAATAGCTGTGAGCCATTAGGAGTAGAATGTCTCTGCAGCAACAGCTGCCTAACTGACTCGGTTATTTAGTAACCCAAACACCAGAGTAACACAAATACTGCCGTATCACATCAGCAAAGTCATTTATTGGGCGTTGCATGCTTATAAGGAAGCATCAAGAAAATGATCAAAAGCGTTGCTTCATTGTCCTTCCTGGAATGCATGAACTTAGATTAATAATAAACATGTCGAAGATTCAATGTGGGAAAGTAAGGAGCAGCAATTTACTGTATCTGGTGGGTTTAGTGCTGACAGAGGAATACATGAGAGCTGGGACTTTGTGTGTGGGCCATAAAATGACACTTGTCCTCCTGCTCCAACTGGAGAGCAAAGACGATGGTTTCAAGGGCAAAATGTGTGCTCTGCTGAATTTAAAAGAAATAATACACACATTGTTACATTGGCTCAACAAGGCTCCCGATATTTATATTTGCCAATAAGCATTGATCAAACCTGCCCATGTTGTGTGTCACAAACTGTTAAAACCTTGTTACAAGTTCAGACTGATGAACCTCAGCCCATCTTTACTTCTGAGAGATCCAGTCTCTCTGAAATGCTCTTTTTATACCTTGTGCTCTTACTGAAGTTTTACCAATTAACTTAATTAGTTACAAAACATTCCTCCAGCGTTTCTTATTCAGTTCAGTTTTTTTATGTAGCGCCAAATCACAACAGAAGTCGTCTCAGGACACTGAACAGAAACATTCACATACAAACGCCAATTAGTAAAAGTTATCAGTCTAAAGAAGACAGAAGATTGTGTTGAATCTTCACTTTGTCAGTCTCCCACCCTGAGCAAGCACAAAGGAAACAGTGGAAAGGAAAACTCCCTTTTAACAGGAAGAAACCTCCAGCAGAACCAGACTCAGGACAAGCGTAGGCCTGTCACGATAACAAATTTTGCTGGGCGATTAATTGTCTCTA